TCCTTTTTTTGTGATGGGTTTTTTTGAGATAGGATCTTGCTAACTGCCTGGGCTGGCTTCGAACCGTGATCCTTCTGATCGCTCCCTCCTGAGTAGCTAGGATTACAGGTGTGAGCCACCAGCGCCTGGCTAAGAGCTTTAGATTTTAAAGTGACTTCTAGAAAGGCACTGATAACGTTTTCTTTTTTATTTTTAATACGTGCCTAAGTATTAGTATTACTGACAAGTACAATTTAGCAGGCTTTTAAAAAGTGGAATTATAAAGTTCCCATGAAGGTTAGATTTTGAAAGATGAAATTTAAAGCTACTTTGATTCTTATTTTTTTGCAAAGGATTAGAAAAGAGAATAAAGAAATTTTTCCATTTTAAAATTTTTTCATTTTAGTCGAGATGTAAAAGAGTTCTTCCATTTGAGCACACACACACACATAAAAACTTACTTTTTTAACTGCTGACAAAAATCTAACTATAGCGTGTTTGGTTGGTTTGAAATGGTATTTGCATTTTTAAGAACCCAATTTTTAGTGTTCAGTAGTGGGTTGGTATATGTTTGCTAAAATATAATCATTTTCACAAAATAATTTCTAATGAATTTGAGAACGTGATGCCATGTGGCAATATGTGTCTTCTTACTAATGATTAGATTTGGTGTGCTACTTAAAAATAGTTGGTGGTGGCTGGAGGTGTGGCTCAAGCAGCAAGACCCTGAGTTCAAACCCTGGTACTGCCAAAAAAAAAGTTGTCATTTAGATTAATGAAAAAAAAAAGGATTTTTCCAGAATCAAGGATGGAACTTTAGTTATTGTTTTTAATTTTTTGTGTCTGCTACAGTATGGATTTGCCCTTCTACGCAGACGGGCCCTGCAGTTAGAAGAGCTCACCTTAGGTAAGGACACGCCCGATAACGCCCGCACCCTCAATGAGCTGGGCGTCCTCTACTATCTTCAGAACAACCTGGAGTGAGTACCATGGTGTCAGTCATGAAAACAAATACCCATTTTGTCCCTCACAGGCAAAGCTGTCTTACCTGTCCGTCAGAGTCCTACACTAGAAAAAAATGATAGAAACCGTGCTGATTTCATGTTGGATGTTAGGCTCTGAACATTCCCACATTGAAAGTTGCATTTTCTCTTCTTCAGTTCACGATGTTTCCTTAGGATCTCAAATATAAAAGTGAGTTTGTGTTGACATTGTACATGAAACATCGAAGAAGAAATTTGAAATCAATGGAGGTCAAACTGAAGAATAGAGATAGCAGCTAGTTTTATTCTATAGTTTACCTGGACATAAAAGACTCAAAATGGCATTTATGTTTTCTTTCTGAACTGGGGTTTGAACTCAGGGTCTCTTGCGAGGCAGGTACTCTACCACGTGAGCCAGTCCTAGCCTTGTATTTATATTTTCTAGTTAAAAGTATTTATACTTTCTGAAAAATAAGGTGTTTTTTTAGATTTCTTTGGACATCAGAGACATCCAACAAATTTAAAACTTCAGAAAAATGCAACAAATTTTTAGTCCATAGAAGCTTCTTTTACTAATAATTACTTAGTACTCACTATAAGAGTACTAAGAAAAGAAAGAGTACAAGAAAGAAAGAAAGAATGAATGAATACTAAAATCTTTTATTTGGCTTTGGTCTAATAATTGTAAGGTTAGAAAGTGTTTCAGAGAATATTTGTGGGTTTGTCCTTAGGAGAGGCGGAGAGTCGAGTACATGCAGGTACTTTATGGAAACAAAGGGGGAGGTCAGGAGGGCCATGGACTTGAGCTGAGTCCTTCTCTTTAATCTCTTTCTTAAGAATAGAAATGATTTGGGCTGGTGGAGTGGCTCAAGTGTGAGCGCCTACCTCGTAAGTGGTCAGAGCCTAGAGGCTCTGAGTTCAAACCCCAGTACTACCAAAAAAAAAATGGAGACTAAAAATGATTCAGTTCACCTCACTCTGGCTCAGGACTCTGACCGCTACAGGAAAACTGCTTAAACTGTTTTGGGGTTTTGTTCATAGGACAGCTGAGCAGTTTCTGAAGCGCTCCTTAGAAATGAGGGAGCGAGTTCTAGGGCCAGATCACCCCGACTGTGCCCAGTCTCTGAATAACCTGGCAGCTCTGTGCAATGAAAAGAAGCAGTACGACAAGGCAGAAGAGCTGTATGAAAGAGCCTTGGACATCCGGAGACGAGCACTGGTCCTGACCACCCTTCTCTGGCGTACACAGTGAAGCACCTTGCAATCTTGTATAAGAAAATGGTGAGTAATTCTTGCCATGGTTACATGTCTTATAGTAAACCAGTTAAGCCATAATTACTGTCAGTAGGTTCATTTGTCTTCTGATGGATAGGGCATTTTAGATGAGCTTCTTAAAAATCATAATAATTTATTTTTTGTTGTTTTTGAGACATTGTCTCACTGTATAGCTCAGGCTGACCTCAAACTCATGATCCTCCTATCTCAGCTTCCCAAGTGCTGAGATCACAGACATATACCACCACACCCAGGATATAATGATTTCATTGTTTTTAACAAATAACTGACAACATTTAGAAATATTATTTCAGACTTTATTAAGATACGGATCTTTTTCTGAAATACATTCTAAATACAAATTCATTCAAGTTAAATTAAATTTATGATACATTTCAGAAATTCTAAATTCATCATTACTATCTCTGCTGTCTAAAACAACCATAAACATTACAAATCACCCAATTATCATGGCTGCAGAAGGTATCTTAGTAGGTGACTAAATGATCTTTTTTATTTCATTCATTCTTGAGCTGGAGGCATGGCTCAAGTGGTAGAGCACTTGCCTAGCATGCACAAAGCCTGGGGTCCAACCTTTAGTTTTGCAAAGAAAAAAAAAAAACATTTATTTTACTTGTTCTTCACTACAATGATGTGTAACCATTCTTTGCCATAGGAGTGAAGTTTGGAATTTTTGTATCTCTTTACCAAAAACTACCCACAAAGTCTGCTTTCAGCAAGTGCAGTTCCAGAGCTGCATGGGCTGTGTGCAGACTTTGCTTACAGCGTGCGTGCTGGTCTTCTGGCACTGAAGTTGGTGTGGTAGTAAGAAGGGGCGATTGCTGTAATTTCCGCTCAACCTTTGAGCAAAAGGAAATAATTAGAAAATTCTGGAGGGGATTTGGTGGAGTGAGCTTTTATTTTGATGACATCTTTAAACTTAAGTACAGTAGCTAACGTAAATCTATCTTAGCATATTTCCTTCACTGCAAACGTGAATAATAAGTGAGCCTAAAAGGCTTTCTGAGTTATTAGAGAAATTATTTTTATATTTAGTATAGCTTTATTTACATATTCTATTAGATTTTCAGTCACCTAATAAACTTAAGCATTAAACTGGGAGGAAATGTTTCAGGGACGTTTTTCCTCAAAATTGCTTTCTCAGTACAAAATTTTACTTAAGGGAAAATTTGTTGCCTTAATACTTTTGTTAGATGACACTTTTGTTTTCCAGGGAAAGCCTGACAAAGCGGTACCTTTGTATGAACTGGCTGTTGAAATTCGGCAGAAATCCTTTGGGCCAAAGCACCCCAGTGTAGCCACCGCCTTGGTGAACTTGGCAGTGCTGTACAGCCAAATGGTGAGCTTCTACTTTGTTTTCTTTCCTTTGTCAGTACAGAGGTTTGGACTCAGGGCTTTGTACTTGCTAAGCAGGCTTTCTACTTCTTGAGCCCATCCCTACCCTTTTTGCTTTTAGTTATTTTTCAGATAGGGTCTGGGCCAACCTCAGACTGTGATTTTCCTGCCTATACTTCCTTTGTAACTGGGATTACATGGGTGCACTCAGCTTGTTTGTTGAGACAGGGTGTTTTTTGCCAGGGTTGGCTTCTAACTGTCATTCTCCTGACCTTCATCTCCTAGGTAGCTAGGATTATAGGGGTGAGGTACCACACCCAAACTTGTACATTTTAATTTTTTATACATGAATGGCTTTCAGGAATCAAATATGGATAGAGATGAGTTAATGACCAAGTGAAAATAAAGAAAATTTGAGGCTACTTTTTATCTACTATTTCTTCCTTTTAGTATTTGAGAAATTATTGAAGTTACATTGGTCTGTTTCTGAGCATTAAACACCAACTGAGTGTTTAGTTCAGAGACAGGCTTAGTTTTTTAGATTCTATAGAATGTTGTCTTTAAGCTTGTAGCATCTGGCTATGGTACCCACTGGGCAATAAAGAAGATTTCTTCTTATTTTGTTGAAGGTCAGATGGTTATCAGACCAGGTATCAAACTTAGATTTTTCTGTTACACTGCTTTTCCTGTTAATATTCATAAAATAATCTGTTTATTTGCATCTTTTAGGAGAATGTTAATATTTTTAAATGCTTACCAAAATGATTATAGTATAGAACACAATAATTTCATTGTAATTATTTCTTTTTAAGAAAAAGCACATTGAAGCTTTGCCATTATATGAAAGGGCATTAAAGATTTATGAAGATAGCCTGGGTCGGATGCACCCTCGAGTTGGAGAAACATTAAAAAATCTAGCTGTGCTCAGGTAGGAAGTTTTTCACTTTTCTCATACATCCCAAGTCTCTTAGAATAGCTTTGACTGAGTGCAGAACAGCAGAAAATATTTACTGCTGAAGTGTTCTTTTTTGGAGGGACAAGGGTTAGTTTTGCTGATCTACTTTAAGAGATACTAAAGTTGTATCCATAAGCGAAATGAAGGCTGCAAGACTTACTGTGCAGAGGAGGGTGTCAGGGCAAATAGTGAGGGCGGTTTACATGTGCCGCTGACCTGCTGCTGGGGGTGATACGGGCTAATTTACTGTGCTGAGCTTTGCTTGCTCAACAAATAATAAATAACTTTGCAGATAATAAATAACTTCCCTTAGCAGCTCCAGGGCATCCCTTAGTTGTCTGAATGATGGACATACGAGGCATGAAAATGTCCCGCGGGACAGAGTTTGGGGGTCCTGTTTTACAGGTCTGCCTGACTGGATATACCAGAAAGAGGGAAAACAAGCAATTATCCACTACTCTTTTTTTTAAATACCATAAGGTCATTTAAAATTCTTTTTTTTTCCGGTGAAAGCTATGAGGAAGGAGACTTTGAAAAAAGCTGCTGAACTATACAAAAGAGCAATGGAAATAAAAGAAGCAGAAACGTCACTGTTGGGTGGAAAAGCTCCTTCCAGACATTCATCAAGTGGAGACACGTTTAGCTTGAAAACTGCTCATTCTCCTAATGTCTTCCTTCCTCGAGGACAAAGATAATAGTGGCAATTGCAGTTCTTTGCAACCATACCTTAAGATAATTAAACACTTGGAAAGTTAGAATTTAAAACTTAATTTAACTGGTATTTTTATGAAGTTGTATTGGACTGTATTAAGTTTCAGTGTGATCGTGTCTATTTAAATAGACTCAAAGTAATCCATTTTCTGTTGTGTGGAATCCAAGGGTATAGACACATTAGCAGTGGAGATGGCAGGAGTGGATTGGTCTCTATCCAAGAAGAGCTGGCAAGGCAGCGAAGACAAGAGTTCAGATTCAAGAACTCCATGATTTTTCTCCTTCCTCACAAGCAACTGCCGCCTTGCCATTCATTCCTTGCCGTGTTTCTCAGCAGTGGTCTGACCCAGTTCTCTACCTCAGTTAGGGATGTTTATGAACAGTTTGCATTGTCTTCAGTGAGACAGATTAGTCGCAGGAATTCCTAGCTGCTACATTTTTTTATATCTTATTTTAGCTTTTTTTTTAAGTTGGGGCAACCCCCGTTTTCTATGCTTTCTACATTGCACATTTGCTTGTTACTGTGTTTGTGTCTGCAATGTCTAAAGACATTCATGCCAGCAGATCAAGTTCTTAGGATTCTTTGGCCATTCCTCAAAATGGAATACTCAGCCCTTTATTTTCTTTCATAATTGACCTAAATCTGTGTCTTCATTTACCTCAAACTCAAATTAGTCTGCCATTTTTATATTAAGTATTTTGCAAGTATTGCCATATTTCAGATATTGCGTTGTACCATTTATGTATTTATATAGAGGCATTGTCCATTTAGTTGTAAGATTCTAGTATGTCAAGGTAAAAGATGTAAAAATCATACTTCATGGTTTTAAAATAAAATTGCAAATTCAAGTTCTTTTTCTACTCTAGCTTCTATAAGAGGGCCACACTTTATATAATTAAGAAACACATTGAACAGTTTATCAAAAGACTTGAATGTTGTCAATGCCTAACTTGAAGAACTCGCCAAGAAAAAAAGAACTTTGGTGACTCTAGGTTTGGTTGGCGTTCTGTGAGTCCTTGCTACTCGAATCAACATCATTACTGCCTGGGAACTTAGGAAATAATTAGACTCTGCCTCACACCTACTGAGAATCTGCATTTTAGCTGAGTCACCAGGTAATTCTTATGCACATAAGTTTGAGAAGCACTGGTAAAACTCTAAACACCTCATGGTTACTTTGAAGAAATTGAGGCAGGATCTTATAAAATGAGCATCCTTCTTCCCCTTTTGGGAATAAAAAAGGAAGATAAAATATGATGATAACATATCTTTCTCGGTTTGTTAGCTGTGAAAGGTATGTTGAATAACTGAAACACAGGTATACCAGACATTGATTTTAGAAGTAAGCTATTAGAGTTAAGATATGGTTTAAACTTATCACCTTAAAACTGCTTTGAGATGATATGACCAGTATCCTAAGCAAACCTTGAAAAAACTTAGTATTTATTTCTTTTGTTCCTCTAAAAATTTGGACTTGAAAAACATACAGAAATATTTAGAAACTACTATTGTTCTTCAGTAACTTTATGGCAAAAAATTAATTTTATCTGGGTGATGATCACTATATATTTCAAAAGTATATGAAAAAAATTTTCTGATCTATTTATTGTACTACCAATATGTACTGTACATTTTCATGTCTACTTAGATAAACAGTTGTAATAGACATCTCTGTGTACAAGTGTATTTGAAATTCTCAAAAAGCATATTATGTGCTTCTAATATACACTTTCACAATGAGAGAGCTTTCAGACAATGCAATCATAAAACTGGATTGTTATAATTGTCATCAACACTGTACAGAAGGGAAATAGGAAAAACCAAAACATGACTTGGGAGGAGTCAAAGCTTCCTTAATAAATATGCCTGAAGTTACTACTTTTTTGGTCAGTGTGTTTTAAGTATCCAGGAATTATTTTTTATGAGAAGAATCCATAATACATATTTTTCCCTACTACATAAAAAATATGTCCCTTTACCAAAGGAATTAAAGTGGATGATTTGTTTCCTGCATTTGCAGTATTTTTGCTAAGGCATGACTGGGACTGCTCTTTAGTCTTTCATGTCTAGACTCGACAGTATTCATAAATCTGGCCAAACACTTAACTGAGTGATGCAAAGCCCAGCGATGATTAACATCTCAAACTGACTACCTCCTGCCTACTTATGCAAGCTTTTATGACAACTGTCAAGACGGCACTCTGGTGCAACATACCTGTGTCAGATTTTTTTTTGGTAATTCAGTAAGATGCTAGACAAAAGAATGAGATACACTAGATAAAAATTTGATGCCATGCACAGTTAAGAGTAAAGATTTTTAGACATGATGGATTTTGTTACACTTTAATCAAACCAGAAAAATGTATTAATGCAAATAAATTCTTGGTAAACTCACATACCAGAGTTTCAAAGAACTATTCTACAAGACTTCATTTCACTTTGTAAAGTTCAAACCTCTCTAGCCCAGCTGGGAATAGTGGTTCATGCTGTAATCCCAGCTACTTGAGAGAGGGAAACAGGAGAAATGTGGCTGGGGGTGGCTCAAAGCGCAGACCCTATCTGAAAATAAAGCAAAAGGGCTGGGGTTGGCTCAAGTGGTAGTGCACTTGCCTAAGCAAATGCAAGGCCCCAGTTCAAACCCAGTTCAGAAAACAAAATCCACCAAACTAGTAACTGGAAAAGCCATTCTGTAATTCAGTTATACTAAGATTTTGTAAAAATGGTAAACCTCCAAATCAATATAAAAATTCCAAAGCTAATAAAACCATCCCACTTCCTGATTTCACTAAGAATCAAAGTACAATCCTACACTCTCAAAATACTGAATTTCTAAATTGGCTTTTGGAACTTTATTTACAAGTGAGAAATGTACTTTTGTTTGCTATCCCCCTATGGATTCATTTAGACATTAATATCTCCAAAGCAAATTCTTCCAAGAGGACCAGCTCAGAAACAGCCTATGAGTAATGGTTACATCTCCTGATACTTATTGGTTCTCAAAACACTGTTAATGTATCCCATTTCAAAGCTCTGTCTTCAATATTTATATGCAACTCCTAAGAAAAACCATTTTGTCAACTTGGAGGTTAGTCACAACCAGGGAATGAATAAATACCTGTCAGTCACTGTGGAGGCAAGTTAGAACTCTTCTTTTATGCCTACTATGCAGAACAGACCTTGCCAACAATCTCACCACTGTGGGAATCAAATATGAATGAAGTAAATTCAGGAGAAACCTATGTAAATAGGCATAATCTGGATGATCTTCATCTAAATGTATGCCTTGTTCTCCAAAACGTCAATGACTCCATATATTATGTGTGAGAGATAAAATTTCTTTTCTTGATCAGTGTGGGATAAAATGTAACTTATACTTCCTGAAAGTACCTTTATCTGTCTACCTATGATGACAGTGTTCTTTTATCTGCCTTTGTCTTATTTTAAGAATTTAATTCATAGGTTTACAAACTTTTCCAATGACAACACTCCAGGCTGTGCTTCAAAAAACATCTGAGAGGATGTTTTTATTTTATAGGTTAACTATTTAAAGTCATTGTTGGTCAAGTTAGCAGCAGTGGGCAATTTTTTTGCAGGAATCAATTCCAAGCACAAAGAGGGGATACTTGCTAGCTGTAACCAACAGCTTGTACTTCTTGACCCTCACCCTGTGTTTGTACTACTGTATGTTCAAGTCCTCAGGCAGCAGACCAAAAGGGACAACTGGAAAGAAAAAGTATAGGATCCAGTTGGTCCTTCCCTCCCTCCAAAGACCAAGCCATTTCAATGCTGTAGCTTCATTAACACTGGTAAATGCTGCAGTGTGTTTAATTCATAGGCTTTAGGAGAGTTATTTAGTTGGAGAGGAGCAGTAAGTACTAGCCAGTATTTTCATAATGTACAACAATTCAGTGAACAAATATACATCAACTAATGTTGCCCTAAGTTTTATTAGTTTTGACTTTTTAATTTTAAAGGAATAGCTTAAGCATAGAAAATAAAATACACCAGTCCATTATCTATATATTCTTCATCTTGGCCATGAGGTCTTCCAGGCTTTCACCAGAATCTTCCACTGTTACTTCAGGTACAGAGTCTTCTTTCTGTCAACAAAAGACAGTGAAAAAAGAACTACATAAAATGCTTTATGCTTAGGAATCAGTAAGCTTCAAACCATGCTCAAAGTTTATAGAGTAAGTTTTCTCTAATAAATATGCATTATGATTTTTAGGAGAAACAAAGTCCTTTACTTTTCCCACTGGCACTTAATTTACAAGGCAGTAATTTCATGTGGGTAATGAAATCACATGAGTACCACATGATGTTTTGATACATGTGCGTATTGTGTAGTGCTCAAATCAGGGTAAGGAGATCTTACATCCTCAAACGTTTATCATTTCTTTGTGATGAAAACATTCAGTACAGAGCATTTTCAATAGCTACCCTATTGTGAAATAGAACACATGAATTTATTTCTCCTACCTAATTGTAACTTAGTGGTTGTTGACCAACCTTTCCCTATTCCTCCCTCAGCTTACTTTTTCCTTTACTATTCTCAGCTTCTATGAGACCAGCCTTGTTAGATTCCACATGAGTGAGATCATGTGATACTTGTCTTCTGTGCCTGGCTTATCTCCAGTTCCCTTCATGTTGTCACAAACAACAGGATTTCACCCTTTTCATGGCTGAGTAGTATTCCTGTGTGTGTGTGTGTGTGTGTTGTGTGTGTGTGTGTGTGTGTGTGTGTGTGTGACATTTTCTTTACCTTTTCATTAGTCAGTGGATACTTAGGTTGTTTCTACATCTTGGCTATTGTGAATAGCGCTGCAGTAAACATACGAGTACAGATGTCGAACATATTAATTACATTTTCTTTGGACATATACCCAGTACTGGGATTGTTGGGATCCTGTATATTGTAGTTGTAATTTTGATGTTTTCAGCAACCTCCATTCTGGTTTCCATAATGAATGTACTAACTTACATTCCCACCAATGGTGTATAAAGGTTCCCTTTTTGCACATTCCTGCCAGTACTTGTTATCTTTTGTCTTTCTGATAAAAGCCTTTCTAACTGGATTAATGTGATACCTCATTGTGGTTCTGATCTACTTTCCCTTGATGATTAATGATATTGAGCAATTTTTCATATTCCTGCTGGCCATTTCTGTGTCTTCTTTAAGAAAGGTTTTGTAGGTTTTCTACTGAAGTATTTTTAAATGGTATTATGGCTAAAACTATCAATACAAAAAATATCTTCATTTAATCAAAAATGTACTATACATTAATGAGTAAAGAAAATCATTTTGTGCCTGTGTTTTCAAAGAGTTTAAAATAAGCCATACATTGTCTCCCTATCAACACTGAGTACCTCATGCTCTCACATCTCACTGTCTATAGTATAAAATACCGACAGCAGGAGATACTGCATTGGTACCACAAGGTAGGATGAAGATGTAAAAAGATATACATATTTTTTTTCTTATCTGATATTTACTTATGGGTAAATCAGATTTTAGAAGTACCTTTTTGGGAATGGTATATGCCACTGTAATTCCTTCAGGTAAGTCAGGAACTGGACCTGAAGAATTTTTCAACTCCTCTTCTGAAACCTCAGATACAAGCTCAATACCTGAAGAATTAAATTTGATTCTGAATTTTGAAGAAACTTCATAAAAGCAATAACTATTCAAAATTTGTATAATCTTGTATTTTCTACCACAGAAGATTTCATTTTATTCTCTCACTTCAGTTCATGAAGAACCCCTACCCCACTCGTTGTCCTCGTGCACTATCTCTTCCTCCTCGGGAACAGCCTCCTCCTTGGGCAGTGCGGCTACCTTTTTCTGTAGAAATCAAGAGTACCAACATGTTTCTACTCATTCTCAATTATTCTCAGAAGCATCCAATATTCAGACAGGCTTCTTGTCTTACCATTAGCAAGAAAGACTTATTTTTGTAGTATGCTGAATAAATTAGAACTATAAAAATACAGAATCCATTTACCTTTTTTTTTTTTAAATCTGCTTTTTTTTTTTAAGTTATTATATGCAATATGATTCTGACACTGACAGGTTGACACATACCTTATACTCCTCCTGCTGCCTCCTGCAATTTCTGTCATCACACTGCGGATTTGGCTTCATGGACATGGTAGGGAAAAAGTCCTGCATTGCATTGTAGCCAAGGTAAAAACTAACAGTGCCAAAGTTTAACAGAAACCTGTAGAAACAAGCCAAAGTAGACTAAAAGGAACAAAACCATGAAGAACTAGAAATGCATTTAAAAGAATGATTTTAGGGTAGGTAATGGTGCTCATAACATGCAACCCGGAAAACAGAGACTTTCTATCTTCTTTACAGAGCCTCGCTCACAGTAGGTGCTTATGTTTCTTAGATGAATGAGAGAAAAAAAGAGATTACTCCATTTAATCAACTGTAAAATTAACTATTACTGTTTGAACCTCCAAAGACAAAATGCTGGCAATTAAAGTAAGACATGTTAAAAACTTAAAAGCACAATGGTTTCAGAGACATTAAAATGTGAAAGAAGTATGTTTTTACAATCTCTTGAGATAATGCACTAAATATACTAATTTGAGAATTTTTAACATAACTTACTTTATATAAAGTACCTCGTCTTGAATGTGGAGCACAGTAAAATTTTATATACATCCTACTACCAGATGAAGATACAGAGCATCACCAATGTCCCATAAAACTCCTTTGTGTCCCCTTCCCTGTAAATGTCAAGTGTGATTCCTTAAAAGCTTCTATTTTTCTTTTTCTTTTTTTTTTTTTGGGACTGGGGGCACTTGCAAAGCAGGTGCTCTATCACTTGAACCACACCTCCAGCCCCCCTTTAAAGCTTCTGTACAGAAGAAAAATTCATGTATAAAACATAAAGGGGAACTGGAAAAAGACTTGCAAAAGCATGTTCTCGATATACAACAAAAAAAACCAGAAAAAGATAATAGGTAACTCACAGAAAAGCTAAGTGCCTAACCCTTTTTACAAATGGAAATCAAAATGAAATGCCCAGTTTTTTATCAGATTGACATAGCTTAAAGAATTTGATGATACCTAATGAGTGAAGCAAGTACTCTGATACTATGATGGAAATGTACAATCCTTTTATAAGAGAAATTTGGTAATATCTACTGAGATAAATTGCATTTATACAAATCTGTACTATACAGAAATTTAGTATTCATACATGTAAGATGTTCTCTGTGGCACTGTTAGTAACAATAAAAGTGTAAGTAGTGTAAATGTCCATCAATAGAGGATGGATGTAGCCTTCAGGGAATACTTTGGAGTCATTCTTTTCTGTTTTTGTACAATACTATAAAATGTTCTGCTTACCAGGGCCTAATGACATTCATATGGGCGATGTGCTCTTATGTGACACGGCCCTTGACTGTCATCTTGAGAGTTCTAATTAATGTATGCTTTCTACAATGTCTTTGCTGGCAGCTGTTATCAGGATGCCTCCCTGTATCAAGCTGCAATTTGTTACCATATTGGAGGCTTAAGAAACAGAACTTAACTTATTAAAGCTGTAAAGTAAGAAAAAAATGGCCAGTGTTAGAGAACCCTAAAGGGCTCTGCTTTAATAAAGTGTGACGTGGTTCATAAACTCCCAGTTGCACAGAATTCTTTTTGCTTATTTTTAGCTATGGTTAAAATGTGTACTTGGTGGATATGGGTTTTTGGATAGCAAAGGTTTTCTCTGGTTAATGTTTAATCACATTCGAATTATTTTTAGTAAGTTAAGTCAAGATAGTTGAAGCAAGTGTGTTTATGCCTAAGTGCCCATCATTGGGCAGGTCTGCAGAGACATACCTA